GACAGACTTATACAGCAGCAGACTGTCCAATGAGGAGAAAGGAATGGTGGTGGAGCCAATCGGTGACCAATTGTGGTATCCTCTGCTTTCACATTACTGGAATAATAGTGGCGTAAAACCATGCTCACTCACTCGCTCGCTCGCTCACTCACTCACTCACTCACTCACTCACTCACTCACTCAAAACCCACCCGCCCACCCACCCACGCACCCACCAACCCACCCACTCACTCATTCACTCACTCACTCACTCACTCACTCACTCACTCAAAAGACACAAACCCACCCACAAACCCAACCCAACCACCCACCCACGCACCCACTCACTCACTCACTCACTCACTCACTCACTCACTCACTCACTCACTCACTCACTCACTCACTTAAAAGACACAAACCCACCCACAAACCCAACCCAACCACCCATCCACCCACCCACTCACTCACTCACTCACTCACTCACTCACTCACTCACTCACTCACTCACTCACTCACTCACTCACTCTCACTCACTCACTCACTCACTCACTTACTCACTCAAAAGACACAAACCCACCCACAAACCCAACCCAACCACCCACCCACCCACCCACCCACCCACTCACTCACTCACTCACTCACTCACTCACTCACATGGAAATATGTTAGTGCTCATTATTTGGTGTCTAGAAAATATTTAAGCCACGCCCACTCTCAGTTACTTGTAACATGCCAGTGAAAGGCATCCTAAGCATCAGACAAATCCCTCTACAGCTATTACAATGGTTGGATATTGTAACCACAGCTGTATTGCAGTGTACAAAATTGACAATAAAAGTCAAGTGATCCTCGTCATAACCCTGATATTGGAAATCATAGACTAAGGGGATCCGCAGGTTATAATAGCACAGAAAAAACCTCAAAGACCCCAAGACCCCCCTTAATTTCTTGGGCAGTATGGCCTTATTGGTATATATACCTGTAAGGATCTGTCGACTTTCATTCTGTTGCCAAAAGATATTTGTCATAGAGCACCACAGACTTGACACACGCTGATGTTCCGGCGCCGGACCTCCCAGGAGTGTCTGCCAGAGGAAATTCCATATACCTTGCCAATATTAATATATGTATAATGTACAAGGGCTAATGGTGGACCCTTCTGCCAAAGCTGTTAAGTTCCCCCCTCTCCTGGGAACACCACCATCTCAGAGAGGATAGTGCCAGTGCTATCTTGGCCTTACCAAATCCACATGATGCCAAAACAGTGAAAGGAAGAATTCTGATGGACTGGCTGCTCTCTGATTGATCTGTCAGATTTCTACCAAGTGAATTGGTTATGTGCAGTTTTGTCACAGGATTTTCAGTATGAATAGAAATTTCTGTATTGCAGAAATTCTGCACTAGAATTCACAGTATGTTTGAAACATTTTGATGGAATTGTTTATCATACATGCATGTGTTGGTGTTGAAATCTGACCTATTTTTGTCTCATCAAGAGTAGATAAAAATAAACTGCAAATACAATGTTATATACAGTGCAACTTTGTAAATACAGAAAAAACCTTGTTATAAATATAGTGCAACCTGGTTATATGAGGTTAGTGAAACTTTGTAATAGATATAGAACAATCTTGTTACAAAAATATAGCAACCTTTTCTAAAATACATTACAACCTTGTTAAAAATACTGCAGTGTAACTTTGTTCTAAATACAATGAAACCTTGTTATGATACAGTGCAATGTTTTTTTTATAAATGCAGTGCAGTGCAACCTTGCAAGGATACAGTGCAACTTTGTTATGAAACACTGCAACAGTTATTGTACAAAATGCAACTTTGTTATGAATGCTGTGCAGCCTTGTAATAAATAGTGCAACTTTGTTATGATACGGTCTTGACCTTTCAGTTGCCTGTGTCAGTAAGTTAAATGGTCAGTATGCCACACCCGTGATTTGGTAATCCAGGTTTTGTTAATTTGGACAATTTCACTGGACGTAGCACTAGGTGCTGTAACAGGCTTCCGATGCATGTAGTAGGAAAAAAGTATGTACAAAATTCTAAATTTCCACATTAATGTCAACATATCTTTCTGGAGCCAGAAACTGATCAGCTATTTCAGGTTCAAAAAGGGCAGTGACCCTAGCACTATCCCAGCCATAACTAAACTTTGAATTTCCATATCGTGATCCAGCATCAAGAGGCTGAAGCCCCAAGAGGCAGGGAAGCATCACCATAAAAGTTTATTGAGATGCGGCAGGCAGATAGGTGTTACAAGTGGGAGGCATGGAAAGGAGGGATATATCTATGGGTGGAGAGACTATTGGACAATGATGACCAAGTCAGAGAGGCGTTATCTAAGGGTATAGATGGAGGGTGATGGAGTGTGAGTGAGTGTGTGTGTATGGTTTTACATCTCTTTTAGCAATATTCCAACAATATCATAACAGGGGACAGAAATGGGCTTCACACATTGTACCCAGAGGGTGATGGGGAGACAAACCTATAGTCGATAACTAGGGCTGGCTAAAAAGATCAATACCGGTAATCGTAATTTCCGTTGATGGGAAGAAATATTAACAATCTTTGATATGAAACTGTTATCGATAATAACTCACATAAACTATTGTGATGAAATAAAGTTTACATTTACCGAAACAGACTTGTCATTGTCAGTTGTCGAAGACAGAAAGCAACTGTTTTTGTTATATCTCAAATGCCCACAAAGTAATCCATGCATAACCGTGTCACTGCTCACCAGTGGCATAAAATATGTTGATTTCTTTCTGGACTTCCTCACATATTTGCTTTAAGTTACATCTCCAATATTTCTTGATAACTGATCGATATTTGGTTAGTGATTATCGAGCTCTATGATCTATATCGATAGCCAGCCCTAATGATAACACAAACAGCAATTCCTTCTGTATACAGGATATGTATTCACCCTGAGACTCATCTCTGCTCATCTTCACTTGAGTCGACTCTTAGGACAAGCAATCCTGGAACTTAGATGGAGGGGACTGTTCCATCGGCAGATTTGATTCCAGTGTCATGATTAAATTGAAAAATATCCAACACAATGTCATTTCAGCCCCACAAACACAAACTGATGTAATTATTTATCATCCACAACTGGCTTCAACAGGAAATATCACTACAATGAAATTGCATCACAATGCTTGCACGTCATTGTGATGTCATTGGTTACCGGGGCGGTCGGGTAGCCTAGTGGTTAAAGCGTTCACTCGTCACGCCGAAGACCCGGGTATGATTCCCGACATGGGTACAATGTGTGAAGCCCATTTCTGGTGTCCCCTGCCGTGATATTGCTGGAAAATTGCTAAAAGCGGCATAAAACCATACTCACTCACTCACTCACTCATTGGTTACCATGCCGTCACAACCAAATGACATCACCAATCTATCTGCTACTGTTGGTTTGTTGTTTAACACCGCACTCAGCAATATTCCAGCTATATGATGGCGGTTTATCTGCTACTGAAGATGGTTACCTATACTTTTACACTTAAGATTGTGGTTATTATGTTTTAATAAAATAAAAAAGTTTGAAGAATGATTTTGGATGAAAAATAGAATATCAGCTTCTTGTCTATGATATGAAATATATCAACACTCGATAAAAGTTTATTCCTCCATGGCAAACTGTAGAGTTTGAAACTTTTATCAACTTGTCTTCATATATCTGATATATCAACGTTAATCTATCATGTAATGTGAGATCAAGATCATTTTTCATATGAAACAGATTCTACTCTTAGACCCCCTGCCTCCCCTCCACCCCCCAACCCCCCACCCCAAATGAAATTGATATCTAGCTCAACCAAAGTGTATTCGGCTTTCAGACAATCAGCTTCCAAAAATAATCGAAAAATATTGCGATATGAGATGTTCTTAGTTTCCAGAGAGTACAATGAAACATGTTGATAAAAATGTAGATTTGAGATCATTATTCTTTCCTATTTCAATTCCTAATTTTGATGGTATTTGCTCTGTGCATGGTGTTAGTGATGCAAGCGTGCCATGCTGCTGGCTTGGGAAATGGACATAGTGCTATAAAGGATAGATAAGGAGATAGCGTGAGCTTTATCTGAGTACTAGACACAACAGGGAATTCACAATTGTGTCCTTTGGAGTAATGTTATGGGCTGTAGAATCCCAGTTCACATTCATCAATCGTTTGAAACTTCATGGTACCAATAGCAAGGCCTAGGTTGGTTGCCATCACTTCTAATGATCCTGATGATGATAGGAGAAGATTAATTGTCCAAATGTGATCAATTAGTCTCTCCAACAATATATCAATTAGGCAATGTGTTGTGTTATATCTGACATATTGCTTGCAAACCTGCTCTAGCATATGGAAGCGCTGGTAGGTTTGTTGCAGTGGGTTGTATGATAACCACTGTTGTCTGGGATTCGCTGAGTTTATAGAGTGTGTGAGTGAGTGAGAGGGTTGGTGGGTGCCTGAGTGAGTGAGTGAATGGGTGGGTGAGTGAGTGAGTGGGTGAGTGAGTGAGTGAGTGAGTGGGTGGGTGAGTGGGTTTGGGTGGGTGGGTGCCTGAGTGAGTGAAAGAGTGAGTGAGTGGCCCTTTTTAGCAATATTCCAGCAATGTCACAGCTGGGGACAACAGAAATGGGCTTCAGACATTGTACCCATGTTGGGAATCAAACCTGGGTCAGTGGAGAAATGGTGTCAGAATAGGCTCTCAGTACCTCATGTGTGTCTCAGTAAGCTGACTTATGCAGTGAGTGAGTGAGTGCGTGAGTGCGTGAGTGAGTGAGTGAGTGAGTGAGTGAGTGAGTGAGTGAGTGAGCGAGCGAGCGAGCGAGAACAGAAACAGACCAGACTGTCATCACACGGCACGGGATGTTGAGCATTACATCAACCACTAGTTTGCCTGGCCCCGACTAGCTCCAGGCCACGTCAGTATAGCTGAAATATTGCTGACTGGTGTACAATAACGACACTAACAAACCTAATGCCACCTTGTTTGTTGCAGGTACGCAGAAGGCTGCCCATCACCTGACCTCCATCTTCACCCAGTTAAACAGTATTACAGATGGCGAGGGAGGGCAGCTGGAAAACAACTTGAAAAATCTTCTATTCAAAATTAACAGTGCTCGGCAGGACTCCTCCTGTACAGGTTGTGACGGGACCTGCAGTGGCTGCAAGAACATAGTTCCACAAGATATTTCCTATCAGATTGATTTCCGCAAGGTAATAAACTTATGTTTCTACCTGGACCATCCCTACAAATAACATTAACCCATAATCAAGTATATGTTATTCTAAGGTTAGCTCAAGTTATTATTTTTTAATTAGGACTCCTTAACCTAGAATACTTGAGTTGTTTTTGTGAACCAAACGGACCAATCATTTATCTCAGTACCCTAAATTTATATGTGCCTCTGTGATTTCAAGCATTCGTCTGAAGCCTGAATGTAAAAAAACACGATTTGGTCTTGTTCTCTCAGATAAGTCCATATATTAACACTGAAATCTACAAGAAACAACTTAGGCGAGTATACTCCCATATTTAGGCTGTATCTGTGACTAGTCGTCAAGAAATCATCAGAACGTATATACAGGAATAAACAAGATGGCTGCTGTATAACGTCTGCTTCCTCTTCAGCTTCCAAACATCAGCACCAATGTCCAGCAGCTCAGCCATCTTGCCCTCCACCCCATCAACAGCACTATGCAACATGTAAGTCTGTTACTATGGTTACTATGCAACATGTAAGTCTGTTACTATGGTTACTATGCAACATGTAAGTCTGTTACTATGGTTACTATGCAACATGTAAGTATGTTACTATGGTTACTATGCAACATGTAAGTATGTTACTATGGTTACTATGCAACATGTAAGTCCATTGTATGGTTACTAGGCAACATGTAAGCCCATTCTATGGTTACAATGCAACATGTAAGTCTGTTACTATGGTTACTATGAAACATGTAAGTCCATTCTATGGTTACTATGCAACATGTAAGTCCATTGTATGGTTACTAGGCAACACGTAAGTCTGTTCTGCTGTTACTATGCTTCACACACAGTATTCAGACTTCACGTGTCTTGTCATAGAAGTCAATCAAAGAAACAAGTAGATTCCGGCTATGTGTCTGGGCTATTCTACATCTTGTGGGGTAGCAATGGGGTAGCCGAATGGTAAGTGCTGGCTTCTCACACAGAAGGTCTGAGTTTGTTTCTACATGTTCAATGCACATTTGTATTAGAATATAGAATAGTTTCCAAGTTCCACCACTAGCCCAGGTGTACAGGTGTTGGAGTATGCGACATATTTGTTAGATTCCCCTTGATAGGGAAATGCTGTCTATATACCCACGTTGATGTCTCAATTAGCTGTGCAGAGTTGCATCTATCAGGGTGTAACATTTATATTAAGTTTTCATGTAATAATTAGATCCCCACAGCAAGGGCTTTAATAAGTAATCATGGTGTAACATTTATATATGATATTTTTATGGATCTGCTGTTCTGATCTTCAAAGGGGGCACGGGTGGCCCAGTCGTCTAAGGCGCCGCGATTCGCTGTGCAGAGTTGCGTCCCTTGGGCACGCCAGAAACCTATGATTGTGGGTTCGAATCCGGGTTCGCCCCGATTATGTTTCTAGGTTTGTCAGCACCATACCCATGCTCATGGGTTTCACCGAAGTGGTAAACGTCTGAGACCTGCATCACTTCGGGCTTTCCTCCCACATTAAGCTGACATGCCGCGGTATAACTGGAATATTGTTAAAAGTGGCGTTAAGCTAAACTCACTCACTCACTCTGATCTTCAAAACCTTCCAAATGGTGTGCTGGTTTTCATGGGGAATTAGTCAGCAAAGAGCCAGAGTCACAAGAGACTAATTACAATTTTATTTACAAGAACAGAATGAACAATATCTTAAATGTAGCTGACGGTGCCACAGAGAGTCGGCACAACCCTCTGGGCTATGGGTGAGAGTGAGTGAGTATGGTTTTACGCCGCTTTTAGCAATATTCCAGTAATATCACGGGGGGGGACACCAGAAATGGGCTTCACACATTGTACCCATGTCGGGAATCAAACCCGGGTCTTCGGCGTGACGAGCGAATGCTTTAACCACTAGGCTACCCGACCGCCCCCTATGGGTGAGAGGTTTCCTTGGTTTGAGTGTCAAACCCCTACTGCCTTACACATCTTGCTTCTTTTTGTATTTAACTAAAATTAGAACAATAAAATGAATATGATTGGTTGTTGATACACAATGGGGTGTGCCCTACGGTTAATGAATGGCTAGACAGAGGGGAATACTTAATCCTGGTGGACTGGCATTTTAAAATTTTGTTGACATATATTTACTGGGTGCTTGAAAAGAGATTATGATATCACAATAGACAAGCTTGTGTGGGGGCTAAACCTTAATGAGTCTAAATTGAAGTATTTGCTGAATGTTATTCTAATATAGGTGATGACAGATTTACTTAAATAAAATAGTTCAAGGCAACCTATAACACTATGTAGACATAGTTTTTGTCTTATTGAATAGTATGTCTGCGAGATGGGTTCTTGTTACCCTAGGGTAGTATTTATATGAAAGCTGTCACTGAAACTAATATGTTGTATTTGCATTTTCCCTGGATGCTAATATATTTTACTTGTTCTATAATTATATAAAAAATTGTATAATTGTTACACCATGATAACTTGTAAAAGGACTTGCTGTGGATGTAATTATTACATGTGTAAATGTTACAACCTCATACATCCCTAAGGCATTCCAGAAACCTATGATCGTGGCTTCAAGTCCTTTTTTGCCCTTATAATGTTTCGTCAAAGTGACAAACATTTTCGACCACACTCCATGATATCACCAATATGCACAGTTCAAAACGGCATTAAACCAAACTCACTCACTCACTCATAAAGCTGTGATGTCTCCACTGCATCAGTAGTCCGGGTGATTTCAGTAGTGTTTGTTTGTTTGTTTGCTGTTTAACTAAGCGATATTACAGCTATATGATGGAGGTCTGTAAATAATCGAGTCTGACCTGATAATTCAGTGATTGACATCATGAGCATCGATCCATGCAATTGGGATTCGATGACATGCACCAACCAAGTCAGCGAGTCTGACCACCCGATCCCGTTAGTTGCCTCATACGACAAGCATAGTCGCTTTTTACTGCTGGCATGGGTTGCTGATGACCTATTCTACCCCGGATCGTCATGGGCAGTGAAGGTAGTGAAGGCTCTCAAGGCTGAGACAACAAGCAGCACTAACAAGTTTCATTCAAGCTTGAAACCCCACTCACATTGCCAGCTATGATGTGTATTGATCAATCAGTTAATGATCGCCCTAATTACACACTGGCCCAGTTCCACTGAGGGCACTACTTACAGCATCTTGATCTACACTTGATAGTGGATAATAGGCCCTCTTTTAGTCAAACTTGCAATCAGAAAATATTATTGTGTATTTTTTATAAGATTTATTATCAAGTAAGGACTAAAGACACATTCGGAGTGTGATTATGTATGATTTGCCAGCTTTAAGCTCCAATATAACATTTTGATTTTACAATAGAAACTGTGAGGATTATGTTTTGGTTAGAGAAATACATCACTTGTCCCATGAGAATCCTGTGTGTAAATCGTAGTTGGAAGGGGGATTGGGGGATTACTTAATTTTTTCTGTACATCTTTATTTATCATTGTTTGTTCAGATTGCCAATCTCATGATTTAATTGTCTGATTAACCAAATAAAATCAAATATTGTATTTATAGTTTTAAAAAAAACCACCATTATTTAGCTTTGTTTCATTTTTATTTTCTTTAAATCATTACTTTTCAATGGCATTGTTCTGCCAAATGACAGATGTTAAATCTACAAAAACACTCAATCATAGAAGGATTAATATTAGTATTTCAACCTGTGGTCTTTCTGCTATGTTGTAAAGTTATTATTGTGGGAAACTTCAGGGTATGTCTACTCACTGACTCACAGACTCACTGACTCACAGACTCACTGACTCACTGACTCACTGACTCACCGACTCACCGACTCATTCACTCACTCACTCACTCACTCACAGACCTCCTGACTCACTCACTCACTCACTCATAGACTCACTCACTCACAGACTCACTCACTCACTCACTCACTCACTCACTCACTCACTCACTCACAGACTGACAGATGTTAAATCTACAAAAACACTCAATCATAGAAGGATTAATATTAGTATTTCAACCTGTGGCCTTTCTGCTATGTTGTAAAGTTATAATTGTGGGAAACTTCAGGGTACGTCTACTCACTGACTCACCGACTCACAGACTCACTCACTCACTAACTCAGACTCACAGACTCACTGACTCACCGACTCATTCACTCACTCACTCACTCACTGACAGACTCACAGACTCACTCACTCACTCACTCACTCACTCACAGACTCACTCACTCACTCACTCTATCACTCTATCACTCTTTCACTCATTCACTCACTCACTCACTCACAGACTCACTGACTCACATACTCACTCACTCACTGACTCACTGACTCACAGACTCACTGACTCACTGACTCACAGACTCACTGACTCATAGACACTCACTGACTCACTGACTCACTGACTCACAGGCTCACGGACACTGACTCACTCAGTCACTGACTCACTCAGTCACTCACTCACTAGCTCACTAGTTCACTCACTCACTCACTCACTCACTCACTCATTGACAAGAGGGAATTCCATCACATTAAATACAGCTCTCCTTTTTACTGATGCCTGATATTATCAAGTTCATCACTGGCACCGGTTCATAAAGGAAATATATGAGAGTATCATGTTGTCTTTTATTGATCACATGACGGTCAACAAATGGACAGTGGACGTAAGCGGCCACATCCGCAACAAATGGCCACAATTTCCTGTATCATATAACGTCACAATGTTTGTATTTGAAGTGATGTTCGAAATGAAAGGTGAGGCTTTCGAGTGTCACATATAACAAAGGCTTGGAGGGGACAAATAGATGGTTTTCTACAAAACTGGATTAGTGTGAATTGTCAAGTACAGCGATATGACAGATATTAACTGCTGTTTTCATAGTGTGATCTATTAAGGGGGCCAATCACTGCTCTAATGGCACTGGTGATAGATGATACTAAAAGCAATACTGCCTGGATGAACACAGTATGTATTTGTGTCGAATGACATGTGACGGCTTCTTGGCCAAAGATTATAGCAAAAATCATTGCGTTGTATTTTTTTATTATTGTGTGACATGTTGATGATAAATGATATGACTGTGTGAGTTATTTTCATTCGATTCAACAGTAAGATTGCACTCAGCAATATTCCAGCTGATGTCTGTAAATAATCAAGTCTGGACCAGACAATCCAGTGATTAATATGAGCATCGATCCACGCAATTGGGACTGATGACATGCATCAACCAAGTCAGCGAGCCTGACCACCCGATCCCGTTAGTCGCCTTTTACGACAAGCATAGACGCCTTTTACGGCAAGCATGGGATGCTGAAGACCTATTCTATCCCGGAATCTTCATGGGTCTCAACAGTAAGAGACCGCCTCCGTGGTCTTGTGGTAGAGCGTCCGCCCGGAGAGCGGAAGGTCCAGGGTTCAATCCCGGGCCGCGTCATACAAAAAGACGTTAAAAGATTGTACTTGTTGTTACCCTGTCTGGCGC